CACACACACACACACACACACACACACACACACACACACACACACACTTTAAAACAAAGTCGGCGAGACAAGACCGAACAGCTCGGGGCAGCGCAGTTACGTAAAGACAGTCCGAGACCGGGCGGGGAGTGGCGCGGAGCCTGCGGCAAGGCGCACCGGGGCCAGCTGGGAAGCCCTGCGCGCTTCCCCAACGCCGTTACCGTCGCTTCTTCGTTACTGTCGGGGTGGGTGTAAGGGTTGATCTGCTGTCCATAATCTGTATCTGCGTGGCAAGGAAACGTTGCTGTGGGGAGGGATGAGAAGTAGGTAAAGCAAGGGATTTGAGTGTCCCTGAGTGAGACCCGGTCCTGGAGAGGCTGGACAGCATCCTCCACTCCAGACAGGGAACACTACGAGGAGACCCTTCTCAGCCTGGGGATGGAGAGAGATTAGCAAAGGAAAGGTCCAGGTTCGCAGGCCCAATGTCCTCCTCACATACCCTGAGAGGAGGATAAATTGGGGCACCCGTTCCTCGGGGTGTGTGACAGTCCCCCTCCCTGCATGGAGTTCAGACTTAAGGCTACGATCAGATGTGCAGATCCCTCGAACACGGCGCGAGAGGAATGTGGGCGCCAAGGGGCCAAGGCGCGCCGCTGGTGGAGACTCAGTTGGACAGAAGCCTCCCCACAAACATGCGCACCACCCCCCAGGAACACTCTCCGACAGCTTGCCTGGAATTATAATAATTACGCCGAGGGGAAGGGGGGACCCAGCGAGCTGAAGTACATCTAATCCGATAATCATTTTTCTCTTCGAGATGCTTCAGGAAAGGAGCTGAGGAGCCCGGGGTGGGGATGCAGGGCCAGCACCGCTGCAGGGATGAAGGGTTAGCAGTCGGGAACCGGCTAGGGGCTGGAGAAGCTGCTGGGGCAGCAGACGCGCTCTACAGGGATCTAGCTGAGCCTCGGCTCTCGTGAGTTTTTACGACCCGGGGAGCAGCACCTATGGAGCCCTATGGCCTTCGGGAGCGCGGGCTGCGACCGGCGCGTCTAGGAGCGCGGACACTTTGGGACGCGTCCTGCGGGTCGCTGGGAGCCAGGGGCAGCGCGTCCGAGAGAGCCCCGCGGGCTGCCCGCTCCTACTTCAGGCTTCTAATTAGAACCCGCCGCCGCTGAATTCCTGGGCTCAAGAGGAAGCGCCTTCGCCCCCGCTCTACTCCCATAAAGAAGGGCCTTGTCGCCAGCCTCCTGGCTACCCTGCGCCCTGGGATTTTTGTCCCTGAGGTCGTGGGGGGTCTCTAGTCGGATCCACCCAGCCCAACATAAGCATAGCTTTCTTTTCACCTGGGCTGTTAGCCCCCCTCGGGTGCGCCCGGCATTCTCCAGGTGAGAGGGGAGTGGTGTGAAAAAAGTGAGGCCCCCTAGCCTCCTCACCCCTCCCATCAAAGGACTGGGGCAGCCCTTTGGCCTCAGAAAGTGATGCGGAAGTCCACCTGGTATTCATAGGGATGGGTGACAAGAGTCACCTCTCCGCCCACCCCCTACTCCCACTTTGTTCTCGGTAGGATTCTCACACTTAACAATTCTGCTTCCTGAGAAGCAGCCCCCCTCACTCGGGGATGCTGGCTTCCTGGGAACAAGACCGAGTTCCCATCCTGCCTCCCCTCCCTGGCAGGCTCGAAGTGTCGGCTGGATTGGGCTTGCTGGCAGAATGGAGAGGAGTCCTCTAAAAAGAGTAGCAATGGCTGCGGTCAGGTCACTTTATTCAGCGTGATAGCTGGCTCTTTAATAAAGGTTGCTTTGCATTTTCTACCTATCCAAGCTTCAAGTGTCTCCTGTTTTCCCCTGCCTACACTCTGGGTTTAGATGAGACATAGCCCGAGAAGCAGGGGGAGGGGGGGCGGAGGACATCGTGGTCACTGCTGAGTGGGCTACTGGTGAGCTCCACACAGAGGCAAAACTAACTCTCTCTCTTCTCTTCTCTTCTCTTCTCTTCTCTTCTCTTCTCTTCTCTTCTCTTCTCTTCTCTTCTCTTCTCTTCTCTTCTCTTCTTCTCCTCCTTCTCTTTCTCCTCCTCCTCTTCCTCCTCCTCCTCCTCTTCCTCTTCCTCTTCCTCTTCCTCTTCCTCTTCTTCTTCTTCTTCTTCTTCTTCTTCCCTCTCTCTCTCTCTCTCTCTCTCTCTCTCTCTCTCTCTCTCTCTCTAATTTATTACATTTACCCTCAACCAACCCATTGATTGCTTTACTTCACCTTCTACCTAGTCTGTGCCTCCCTCCCCCTTTCTGGTCCCCAGCTCCCTTCACCTATGAAAGTGAAAGTGAATGATAGAGAACCTCCTCACCTGAAGAAACAAAACCTGGGAATCTCAAATCAGGAGTAATTAGGCTTTTGAAGCTGGTGTGGCTCTTAGGGGGAAGGAGGGAGAGAGGAGAAAGTTAACCCCGCTCTGACTCTGCTCCTTGTGGGATCAGGAATGCCCACCACCTCCCCAGGACCTGCTTTGGGGGGTGGTGTGTTCACCAGTGCCAGTCCTGATACCACAGAGAGGCAGGCCCATCAAGTTAGGACCTCCAAGACTGTCTCTTCTGGGATCTCCAGGTGCTGGGACAAGGGGCAGGCAAACGGACTTGACCAAGGAGTGTCTCTGCCTTTCCCACCTCTCTTGCCAGTTTCTCTTCTCACAGTATTAGAACTGATTGGGAAAAAGCCCAAGGGAAGAGAAGAGATTCTGTGAAGGCTGAAAGGATGTGGATTCCTCCAGAGGACAGTCCCCAAAGACACTGGAAGAACTCTAAGATGTGCCCCCCTCCCACTTCTGCTCTTACCATCTCCTGTCTAAGAGGTCAGCCTTGTGGCTGGCTCCTGGCTTCCCCCCAGACTCTGAGCTAATCTCGTGGCTGCGAATTGACTTTATTCAAACTTACAAATTCCTCTGTGCCCGCCCCTACCCCCACAGCCGCTCTTCTGCTTTCCCACCCTCTCTGGCCACTTCTTGCCTCCATTCTCGATTCTCAGCCCACGCTTACCCTGTGTCCTCACTGCCACCCAGATTTCCTGGTTAGGTAGCTTCTTCCCTGCTCCTTCTCCTTTACTGGCAGAAAAGCCTGTGTCCCAGCTCCCCTTTCTCCCTTCTTCATCAGGGCTCCTCTCCTGAGTATAGAAGCCACACTGCGGAGTCAGTGGGGCCAGTGCCCAGATCTCTCACAGTCCCTCAGTAGCTTCTAACAGTCTCCTTTCTGGGGTTCTCCCGGGTACCCCTGAGACTGTGTGCTGTGTCCCAAGGACATTTTAGGGAGCCCCATCTCTTTAGGACCAACTCTAATTCCTCTCCTCAGCACATGGGTCCCTCTGGCTTTTCACACTTCTGCAGCCCTGCTCCCATGCACTGCTGGGCATACAGCCTCCTAGGAGCCAGTGCCCTCAGCCCTCTTCCTATCCACTTGTGGCCTAGTGATGGCTGCCAGCAATATTCCCCACCGTGGGGACAAAGTCTCCGGACAGGGTAGGTGAGAGAGGGCGTAACGAGAGGGGGTACTGTGACCCTGGGAGTGGGTCTAAGGTAAAGGGAAGGTTACAGATGAGGTGGATGGTACATGTAGAATCATCAGGTTGCCATGGTGAGTAGGCTGCTGACAAGGAGTTGAGAAAGGTTAGCTGGGCTGAGACAGGTAGACTGAGGAAGAGTCAAGCTAAATTTCTTGGCTTGTTACGGGCAGGTGTGCAGATTCTACCCCCAGAGCTGTCATTTTTATGAGCCTTTACCCCAGTACAGCCCACGAAGCCTGCCTTCTCCCTCATCTTCTTGCTCCTTCCTCCTCTGCCCACCTCTGTCTCTTGGTTTTCTATCTTTCTATTCTCTCTCTCTCCTTCCCTTTCCCCTTCTTCTTTCCTTCTATCACCTCTCTTGATCAGTAACTAACATAAGACTCACAAAGCAAAAGAAAGCAAGACATTAAGCGAATTGTCCACCACCACGAGTACTATAGCTCCTAGGGCACTGGACTGGGTGTAGTCTCCCCAGGGCTGCCAATCATCAGACGTTCATCATTGACCCCAAAAGAAATATTCAAGGTCAGCTTTACCTGACCTTCCCAGCGCCCAGCTTACCCAGCTCCTACAGACATTGGTTCTGACACCCTCCAAATGCTATGGGGGAATGTCTCCTAGGCTGGGCATCTTTCTTTCAGCAGACTTCACGTCCATTTAAAATAACTTTCTATCTCATTTGCATAAAGCTTCCTAGATAACCTTTGTGGCTAGATCAGAGGGTGAGTCAATATGGTAGCAGTAAGCAGACTCTTAGGCCATTGTTAATGACCTGGTAACATCCCCCACATAACAGACATTTGGTCCCTTGTACAAACCTTTATCCTGGAGGGTCAGAAAATTTCAATTCCTTGGCAACCCAACCATCCTTCTTTTTGGTGTAGTCCAGAATTCAGGAAACCGGACTCAGATTTGTCACCTTGGTCCTCAGAATATGATCGGTGCTTCTTGATGTATAACCAGAGCCTACCTGTGAAAGATCAACCACTTGTCTGTGAAGAAATGTAACCTGGAATTTAAAGCCCGTGCACGTACGTGCATGCATGTGTGTGTGTGCATGCATGTGTGTGTGTGTGGTGGAGGGAGAGGTTCATGATATCAGAGCAGCTTAATGACAGTGCACCAACAAGCCAGATTCTCCTCTAACCCTGTGTGCAAGCCTGAAATCACTCATGAGCAGAGTTCCTTCCCACCTCTACCCCGGGAACCTAGGCGTGAGGACTGGCGGCCCAGCCTTGGGGATCTCTGCATTGCCTTCTTTTCTGGAAAGCTGAAGGATTAGGCTATTTGGCTGAGAGGCTTCGGCGAGGACCATTTGGATCTCTGATGGTCCTCTGGAGAAGGAGGTTCTGCCTTCTGCCTGGCCCCATAGCCTTGGCTGAGGGAGTAGCTAACGAACAGGAAGCTGACATGGCTTCATGGTGTGAAAAGGCTTCCTGGGGGTTTAATCTGGTACCAACCTTGCAATCTGGGGGATGATGAACTGCAGAATTCAAGGCTGAGGAAGGGAGCTGGCCACCCTCCTGCACTTGCAAAGGCTGAAACTTCCAGTAGTCTGCTAATAGTGCAAGGGCCACATGGCGCAGCCCTCCTTAGAGTCTACAAAAGCCCCCAACTCCACCATGTGCACCTAAAGGAAATATGAGGAAATATGTCCTTGTGATGAACTGATAGACAGATACTGTAAAGAGTTCTGGGACTAAATCTCAGCGAGGCACAGGCCCATGATCAGAGAGGCATCAGCCTCATAGGCCACCTGTCCCCAGGAGCATTCCTCTTCCTTGGCAAACAGCACACTCCCTCCATCTACCATCCGGGCTGTGACACCATCAAGCAGACTCACTGGTCAAGCTATCAGGATGGTTTCCTGGCCTTGCTTTTTGCCCTGTTCGGCCAATCAGTAAGGCTGTGTTGGATGGACAGAGTCCTTCCTGTGGAAACCGAAGGCTGCCCCTGAGCACAGAGGACACAGGGACACATTTTAATATTTCTAATGCCTTCCCCATCCCACCACATGACAACTTCGCAGCCCTGAGACCTAGGGATACCTGGCCTCTGCCTCTGCCTAGGTCTCCCTCCAGGGCTCCTCAGGTGACACCCTGGAGGTGTCTGATCCATTGGTGCTTCCACATTCCTTCAGTAGCAGAACGTGCCGCTGCCGCCCAGGGAGGCTGGCAAACACATGGCCGCCGGCGCGGGAGCCTCCCGCCTGCCAGGACTCGCTCAAAGTATGTGTCAGTAATCCTGCTGGCCCGGCGGGGCAGGACAGGCGCTGGCTGGGAAGGCTTCAGGCAGGGCCCTGTGCAGCCTGGAGTGAGGATGTGGGACCCCTCCCCAACTCAGAAAGTGCTGGAATCTCAAGGAGGGCTCCTACTTTCTGGGGATGCTGTCCATTTGTGAGAAGATCGCTGATCCTTGAGGAATCTCA